GGTCCAAGCAGTGTTAGCCTCGAGGCTTATCATCTTGGAAGAGGAGCCAGAGGGATTGGAGGAGGAGTGGGCTCGTGCCCGGGTTGCCGTCAAAGCTTTGCTAAAGCTTGTCGCCTCGAACTTGCCGCAAGGTGAAGACGAGCAGCCAGCGCGGGGTTTCGCAACGGCCGTGGACGATTTCATGAAGTTCTTCCCTGGTCCGTGGAAAGGACCCCAGCTCTGCTCATATCATGTCCTGCAGTCCGTTTGTGTTGGTAGGTAGGCGACAGTTTGTTTGTTTGATCATGATCTCATCAAGTGGCAGCCGCATGCAGGTTATCTTGTTGACGTGCTGAATTGGCATTGCATGTGAGCTAGTGAGGCAGTGAACTGTGAAGTGTGATTGCAAGCTGCGACTCTGACAGACTCTGACACCGTGCCGCCGTTGGCTTTGGGGTCGGACCCCGGCCTAGACTGTTGCACTTGTACAGTTGCCTCGTGTAGTGAGTGGGGATCATGGTCCTTCATCAAGCCGTCCGTCGACATGGGCTCAGCTCACTCTTCTCAAGCCAAGATGCCCGTCATGAGTCTGTTCGCGGCCTCTGGCCGGGTCCAGACCTTCGCTCGGATGAGAAGCTCCTTCGTGCCACAGAGGCGCTTCGAAAGTGCCTCGTGTCCGAGGCGTATGGTGGTGTTCGAGCTGCTCGCCAGGCCAGAGACGCGTACAATGACAGGCGGGTTTGCTCAATTTCAAGCGGTTGAGAGTGGTAAAGTCTGTACGGTGACGGTGTATGTATGGAGTTAGGTCAACTAGGTATTTTGTTATTTTTCTGTTTTCAAAGTATGTCATTATAGCGTTATAAAAGCCATGAGCCATAATAAGCCGCCATAGTACATAGTGACATAGTATCATACTCGTGACAAGCCCGGCAAGTGTGTAACAGCCGGAGGCATGAACAAACCGGAAACTCTGAGCCACATAACTAACGGACATAACATGACATAACGTGCATGCTAAACCAAATATGGTTCAAATGTGCGACCCAAGTTTAATAGCCCTTCAGTCAACTACCAGATTAAACCTCATGCAACTCCACCAGTCGCCTGCTCCAGGCATCCTATGAGCCTTGTGTTCGACATGGCGGCGTTCTCGCCGGGTTGTGGCGGGAAGCTGTGGCTTGGCGGCGAAGCCGCAGCATCAAATCTGCAGCTGTTGCGCAAGAACAAGATCACCTATTTGGCACCGGCCGCATCCAAGCCGTGCAGCGCACAGAGCATGGATATCAAGCAGCTGACAGTGGTCGACGGCACAGGGATCGCAAACAATGACATCCCATTCGAGAAGCTGATGAGTGTGGTCGACCAAATTGTCGAGGCCCTTGTGGCGGGTCACAGTGTTTTGGTGTATTGTCGCAACGGCGCGCACCGTTCGTCAACACTGTGCAGTGTGGTACTTCTTCGCATGCTTGGTGAATCCACACCGAACGAGATTCATACCTTCTTGAACTCTGCCCGCAACATAGTGGACCTCGAATCCCGCGCACCACCCACGAAATACCGCGCTGTGAGCACAAGGCCGATCGATGCATTGCAGGAGCTCGCGCAGCGGGTGAGGTCAGTGGCTTTGCCAGCCGGGTTTGAGCCGCTCTCTGTGCCCAACGAGCTCCTGACACCCATTCAGTTCAGGCGTCGGTGCTTGGAGCTCGGCTTCACACCAACTAAAGATCATGGCAAGGAGTCTGAGTCTGGCGTGAGCTCTGCAGGGGAAAGCGAGTTGGCCAAGAGGCGAAAGAAGCTCCTCGTCCCAGTCAGTGGAGACACGTCAGCGGTTGAGAGTTTCGAAATGGTCAGCGAGGCCGACCCCGAGACCGACTACTATCGCTCTGACGACGGTGGTGCTAGTGTGGGCTTTGTGAGACTCCAGAACCTTGAGGATATGGCGTCCGATTCAGACCTCTTCTCTTTCGTGCACGATGAGCTTGAAGACCCCGACACGCGGAGGGAGAAGATTCGCCTGCTCATGACAGAGCTCCGCACCTTGGACGCGAAGCTGATGGGCCATTCTGATGCCGTTGCGGCGGGTGAAGGTGGCCCGGGCTCAGGCCAGAGCTCCCTCGAGCGTCAAGCCGAAGAAGAACACGAAGAAGTCGAAGAAGTAGAGGTCGAATTGGAGCCGGAACAACCGCCCCAAGGCGGGATCATTCTTTCGTAATTCACAATAGGACAGGCGAGGTACTATATCCGATATCCGATATGTTGTTTCAAACTTATTAAAACAAAAACTATATGACTACAGTTGAGGCAATAAGGTTGTTAGTAATAGCGGTGTAGTTTGGCAATAGTAGGAATAAGCTTTGCAAACCCTGAGGCTCTGCCCACTTCGCTGAGGAAGAGGTGGACTGGGATGGTGATGAGGAGGAAGAGGCCGAGCCAGAGGAGCCGATCCGGGTGGAAGAAGACTTGGAGGACATCATGAAGAATGTGGCGCAGGGTGGGAACATCGAAATCCTACAGCGGTTTGTGGTCTTGATGCAGGAGCAGCGACTGCAGGCTCAGGCTGCTTTGGCGAGAGAGAGCGAGAAGGCCATGACCCAGGCCTTCGCAAACGAGGTGATGTGCACGCTGCTGGGTGCGGTGCCTCTGGACACTCTCCGACTCCTCGACCAAGTTTCGCCCGCCAATATCCTCACGATCGTCGACCACAACGGCTTAACCTTGCTGCACCATGCGTGCAGACTGGGGCTTCCGGCCATCGTGGAAAGGGTTCTCCAAATCAACCGGCACTTGGCAGATGTGACCACGTATCCAACCGGAAAGCCTCCACACTGGACCCCTTTGATGGTGATCTGCGACAAGTGGTGCGACACGGGTGCTTTCAGGCAATGCCTGTGGACCCTGCAAGAGGCCTTGTCGCCGGGGTCGTATGCGATCAGGTCAACGAACGGCCAAACTCCTTTCCATGTGGCGGCGAGCAGAGGGCAGTGGTGGCTCATGAAGAGACTTTGCTGGGGCCTCTATGCGTCGGCCGGGTCCGACAATCAGGCCTTCGCTATGGTCGAGAGCATCCTCAACTCTCCTGGTGGTGGGCGTTCCGCCGGCGTCGTGGACCACGCGTTTCGCGCCAACACCAGCCTGGCTTTGTGGCTTCAGAAGTATTGGGGGGGGCGCCCCCTTTTGGAGCCGCCCAGGTATGATCAGCGTGGCTACACCTACGCCTTTCGCAAGTAGGGGCTGACCACGGCTCCACGCAATTTGCTAAAGCTAAAGGCTAAAGGGCATCGGCAGGGCATCTCCAGAATCTCGAGTCTGCGTGTTTATACTTTGTTGTAGACTGAAGGCATTCATTAAGTCATTAAGTCGTCACTAAGTCATTAAATCATTAATCCTCAGGCTCCGGCCTTAGATCCTAGTCTAGTCTCCTTGTATCGCAGCATCATTGGTACAGCTCAGCCTTTGCCCTGCAGCCTTTGGCCTTCGGCCGGGTTTGTCGCCGTTGCTGCTTCGGCAGCCTTTCTGTACAAACCCAGGCCACGCAGAGGAGTCTTCCGAGTGAAGCAAGAAACAGGTTGCGCGCTTCCGGAGGGTTCGTGGGCATGTTGTTTGCACATTAATGACATAGTGATCACTGACATAGACTGATGATGTAACATGTAATGATACACCTGCTGTTTGGTGGACATTATCATTATGCCATTATGGCGAGAGTGTTGTGTCATGTAGTCATCAATTCGCATTGTGGGCAGCCAATTTCAAGCGCAAGACTGAAGCCAGAACTCCACCAACCCCAGGCATTCCGATTTCTACGGTCGTTTGCTATCACTGCTGCTGCCTATGCAACTACAATATTACGACTCTATTGACTGTCTTGACTCTCTGTTGACTCTATTGCTACTGCCTGCTAGGTGCCCAAGCCATCCCATCACCTCATGCAGCAGTCAATCCCTGAATCCCTGAGCTCAAAGACTGTAACTTTAACAACTAATAGTAGCAAGCCTCTGGGCAGGACCGCCGATCCACGTCTGCGTCGCTGGCTGTTGCCAGGCAATGCGGGGTTCAGGGCTTTAGGCTAGGCTAAGGTTTGGGTTAGGGTTTAAGTTTAGGGTTTCAAAGGGCAGCTACTACTTTCTATTCCTAGTGCTAGTAGTACTACTAGTAACTAGCAACTTACTAGCACTACTGCTATTCCTGCTACTACAGTACTACAGTACTACAGTACTACAGTACTACAGTACTACAGTACTACTACTACTACTACTACTACTACTACTACTACTACTACTACTACTACTACTACTACTACTACTACTCCTGCTACTACTACTACTACTACCACCACCATTACTACTGCTACTACTAGTGCTACTACTACTACCACTACTCCTCCTCCTCCTCCTCCTCCTACTACTACTACTACTACACTACTACTACTACTACTAGTACTATAGTACTACTGCTACTGCTATCGTTGCTGCTACTGCGACTGCTACTGCCACTCCTACTACTACTACTACTACTACCACTACTACTACGACGACTACTACTGCTACTTACTAACACTAGGAGCCAAGCCTTAAACCAGCTCTTGTAATCAGAAGCCCTCGCTCCTCTTCGAAGTAGCAGTACTAGTAGTGGTGGTAGTAGTAGTCGTCGTCGTGTAGTGGCAGCGATTGTAGTAAAAGGGCAGATGGTGGTATGGTAATCGTAGTGGTAGCTTCATTTCTGCCATCGCCACAACACCAGCACTGCCGCTGCCACCGTCGCCACCATCAGCAAACTCACCACCAAACCACCGCCAGCAGCACCTGCGCCAGCACCACCGCCGCCACCCCGCTATGACGTGTGACGCTAAAGCTCTGAACGGCTCAACATGTTGCACATGTTCTGCCTTGGGCATGTGTTGTCTAGTCTTCGCTACTGTTCGATACTGGAAGAATGGCACACTGTGGCCGATAGACGCCGGGGATTGCAGGCGGGGGTCATCAGATCGTCATATATCTCATAGCACAGAGTCATAGAGAGGCATGTCGGGGCGATGGTCTTGGTGGGATACTTGGAGACAAGACCTCGACAACTGCAGGGTCTCTGTGGAAGATGCGTTTGGCTGCATCGGGGCTCACCGAAACGATATACGGTCGATCAACGGTCGCCTGGATGCCTTGCAGACGCAGCTCTCTGGCTTGGAAACCGCTTTTTCTGAAATTCGAAACAATCAAGAAGTTTTAAAGCTGCACTTGGAACGACTGGTGGTTCTGAGCACTATGTGGTGTGATGAGCAGATAGAATCGCTTCAATCAGATGCGTACATTCGCGACGTGCAGTTGAATCGCCTTCAGTGCTCGTGCGTGCACTTGGGAACGGTGCAGCAGGAGCTCGGGGATGTCACTCATGTCCTGATGAGAGAAATGCAGAGGAGTTTTTCCGGGTTGCAGGTCGAACCGCAAAGGCCAGAGAGGGTTGCGTCCAGGTCGCCGCGAAGGGTTTCACCCAGGTCGCATCAAGGTCAGGAAAGGATTTCATCCGGGTTTGCACAGGGTTCATCCGGGTCGGCGCAAAGGATTTCGGCTGGGGTGCAACAAATGCGTTCGTCCCCGGTGATACGTCCGACGCAGGCTCCAGATATAAGTGATTTGGAACATATGCGTTCGTCCCCGGTGATACGTCCGACGCAGGCTCCAGATCTAAGTGATTTGGAACATGATCCGGACACACGATGACGGCTCAATGATTGCCGTGCAAATCTTATGATCTTGTGCTTGGACCTGCTTGGAGCACAAAATGACTGCAGCATCAATCCTTCCGTCCTCAGTAATCAGTGGAGTGCAGCAGGAACATTGACATTGTCATTGTGGAGTGCGTTTGTGTGTGTGTGTGTCTGCATTTGCACGTGTGCGTGTGCATGTGCCTGTGTGTGTTGGTCTTTTTGGGGATGGAGTGAGTGAGTCATTGACTCATTATTGACATCATGATTATTATTGAATTATTGATTATAACTTATTGAAATACTGAATCAGCTATCAGCCATGATTTATAAATAAATTATGGCATCGCTACGTAGTGAGAAAATAAGCGTAGTCTGTTCGTTTATTAACTATTAGTATCATTATATTGTCTTATCGTGTTTTAATTTTCTTCTGTATATAGGCCTAGGATTCGACGTCCCAAGCCCCGACTCCTAGGTCCCAGGTCACACGGCCGAAGGCCAGAACTGAGGACGCCATTCGTGGCTGTAATTTGGTACATCAATCAGGTCCTTTGTCACACGGCCGAAGGCCAGAACTGAGGAGGTCATTCGTGGCTGTAATTTGGTACATCAATCAGGTCCTTGTATCACAAAGACAACGTAACTATGACGTCGTCAGTCATTATGCATGATTATCATTGCCCATTGCTATCACATCATCCGTGACTTCGTAATGTTCTTAGTTAGGTTTATATTTGAGTCGTTATAAATTATAAATGAACAAATAAAACTATACACTGTAAACTGTAAACTATAAACTAAATTATTTTATCAACAACCATTGCTTTTTATGTGCCCCAGAGCCTGATTCACTATAGTCACTAGACTCTGACTAACTATAACTATAAACTTCTAAGTTCTAAGTCTTGCATAACTACATACAATCTCAACACGCCTACCTCATTAAGCCTACCCGTTCCAATTGCCTGTGCCCGACCTCAGTCTCCAAACCCGGCTTGAAGCCTACGTAGGCTTAACCGTAACGGATTCCAATCTCGTCTCCTTGTTGTAGTGGCGCAACTTGAAACATTGCAATCCACAACCTGAAAAACACAGTAGGAATTCACACAGTCTGAAAGATTCAAGCTCAAACCCACGGCATTCCTGTCAGGACCGTGCTGAGTCGGTGGAGAAAGGCACGCTGCTCGTGCAGAAGGTGCTCATGCACCAAATGAGCATTCCAGCACTGAACAAATGGACGACTGTGGCACCGTGCGCCTCACTTGTCGCTGCCCAACAGCATTTTTGCGAAGTGCTGCCTGATGCCTTGCAGGCGTGTTTCGGCAACCGACAAGAAGTTTCAGAAGAATCGGAAGTGGACGAAGGGGTAGCATTGGGGCAGCCTGTAGATCAAACAGCAAGGTGGCGAAAGCTCGCGCGTAAGCGTCAGCAGAAAGCAAGCATTTTCATGAAGGAGCCCGAATCTCGTTTTCGCACGCTGGCGTGGACAGTGCTGACCGCGCCCATTATGCGCATACACTTCTCATTATTCAAGCATGCTACATGGTTCACAGAACGGCCAAAGGATGATGAGAGAAATGGAGGTCAGGGGGAAGACACATCCTCTGCATTTGGCATGGTGGCAGCCCGACCCACCCAGAGAGCATTGTCTCAGTTAGCCCAGATGGTGCGGTGCCCTGACAATGATGCATGGATGCCCCTAGTTACCTTCTATGGCCCCGTGCTGCAGTGGCCTCAGGCCAGGTTGCGGACCACCAGGCGGGCTGTATGCACCATTGTTGGGCAGCTATGGAGAAAGCTTGCTGAGCCATGGCAACGACATCCCTGGAAGTTGCTTGGCCTGCTGTCCGACGATGATGACGCAAGGAGAGCATGTGCCCAAGAACTGCTTGACTGCAAATGCTGCTGTTTGGATAACTTCTCAGAAAAGTTGCGTGGCATCTGTCCGTCGCTTGAGGAGTTGTTGTCGGAAGACACGCGTTCCTTTGTCGAAGCGGTTTTCAATCGGGTTGTGCCCACTTCGACATATGTGGAGCGTCTTTTCGCACGTTATCAGAAGTGGACTTCAACGCGTGGCCACAAGCTCACCTGCAGCCAGCTTGCTGCCAAGCACTACACATACGCCATGACCCACTTAGTGGGTTTGTGGCGCAAGAATCGTGTGCGTGAAGGACTGATGCGGCGGCCGAGGAACAACAGGGTTCGTCCCGGGTGGGTTCGCAAACGACGACAGCACCGCTCTAGTACTGGCCTACATCTGTTTACCCAGGAGTTTCGCCAACAGAATGCAGCGGCTGTGCCTGCTCGCCGAGCTGCCAACCAAGGCTGGACGTTCATTGCTCGGGCACACCGCACCTCGTCCAGTTTCCCAAGGTCCCAAGAGTCCCAAGGGCCCAAGGTAGTTTAGTATATAGACTATGTAGACGTCTGATATTATGATATAACATTTACTATTTGCAGTAAGTGAAGGTAAGACGGTTAGCAATAGTTGCAATAGTTAATACAGTTCATATTTAATAGTATCATTTAATTGTTATTGAACTTGTAAATAATGGTAGTTATTAGTCATTAGTTATAGTAGTAGTATACCATGATGATATGATCATGATCTGATATTAAATGATGACTGATGAACAATGAACAGGACTTGCCTTCTAGTGCGCAAATTAATGCCAAAGCCCCCCAAAGGTGATAATCGAGGTTGAAGTCTTTAAAGTTGGTTTGATTTCCTTTTTTGAAGTACTCCACTACTCAGGTGCTTGGTCAGTTCTCCCAGCGCAGGAGCAGGCCAGGTGGAAACAAAAGGCCAGGGTGCAGAACGCTGCTGCCAGAGCCAGACAACAAGAGGAGCGGTTGCAAGAAGCGGCCGGGGACGAAAACAACTTCTCGGGAGGTCCTTGGGGCATAGGTTCGGAAGAAGGCTTCCCGCTGGCCCGCCACGTTGTGGTAGACAGCATGGATCGCAAGCGAACCATGGAGCAAGCGTTTGCAGGTCGCACCCAGCAGCTGCAGCCCGAAAACTTGGATAGCTTCTTGGGTGCGGTAGATTCAGATGATCAAAACCTCTTTGCCACTTGTGGGAGCCAGGTTTGCTTCAACAGTTTGCCGGCAGGGCTTCAAGCCGGGTTGAGAGGATTTCATGGTCTGTTGCTTCATACAATCATGAAGCAAGCTCCGCTGCCACTAGCCATGGCAGAAGAACCGCTTGTGATGGCATTCGCCTCAAATGCCGCCGACTGCACGGAGTATGCTGTTGTGGCATACCACACGCGCAAGTCCCCAATAGAAGCTGCCTTGCTTCGGCTTGAAGTTGCTACTGAAGAGGGACTGCCGGAGGATGTCTCCTTGATTTTAAAGATGACGAGCTCCCAGGACGGGCAGCTGCATTTCAGCAGCAACCAGTCGTGGTGCTTCAAGCTTTTTCAGCGAGCGACGGATTGGGTCCTATATGTTTTGTCAGTCGGCCAGGTGCGAAAGTTGTGGCAATTCGACATTACAGGAAGTGAACGCGTCGATGAAGATAAAACCAGAAGGGACATGGCTGCTGCCAGTGAGGCGTCACGAGTCATGCAAGCCATGCGTGTTCTGCAGAAGAGGCCCCAGCCCAGAAAAAGAGCCGCTCCAGATTTGGTCCCGCGACCGGGTAAGAAACAAAGACCAAAGGCACAGCAGGAGAAGGTGGCGGAGGCCGCAGCAGCTGCTCCCGGGAAGCATCAGGATCATCAGATGGCAGAAGTGGAAGAGGAGGTGGATGATGAGAGCAACGATGCTAGTTCCCAGAGTGACGCAGAACAGGTTTTCTCAGCTTTCGCCATGGGCGAGGCACTGGAAGCACCGTGGCTCAGAGGTTGTCAACGGCTATCTTTCTGGTCATTGTTCTTGGGCCTTCTTAAGCCCCATTACCCTTATGAAGCCTCAAGCCTTGAGTCTTTGGTTTCTTCCCACTTGAATCTTGGGACTAGTCGCCTAAGTCAGCGACGTGACAGACTGTTTGAGTTGGCTGGATTTAACAGTCCAGGCTTAGGCCATGCCATTCGGCGAGTGTTTAGGAGTGAGCGGACGCATGGTCAGTCGAGGGGCGCGCCTTGTTGGACTTGGTGGAAGATGAACTTAGTTTTACGAAGTATCACTAGGAGTTTGTTGAGGCTCAAGGCCTTGGTTTAGAGTTTAGAGTTTAAGTTTAGAGTTTCGAGATTGGAGTCTAAAGTTCAAAACTTCGAGTTTCACAGTTGACAGTGCACGGGTCTAAGGTGTGCGACAGTTCGCGTTGTTTGCGGTGTTTTTCTGAGAAAGTCTTAGACCTCTAAGAGTCCAACAGTTGTCCGATAGCGTTGCATTCAGATTTTCAACGCAATGTTTGGGGTTCTCTACTTTGAAGTAGAGTAAGGGCCTGTATTCAGTACAGAAGCAAAGCGCAGAAGAAGAGACTGCAAAAGAGTTTGTTAGACTACATTGAGCAGGGTTGCAGGGTTTCAGCTCCGGGTCAATAGTTTGGCTTTGATCTGTTTCGTATGGCTGCTGGGCGCAATTGTGTGTAGTCAACATCTTCAGTAGTCGCGGTCTTTATGAAATTCAACTGTTGATGTGGGGCCTGAGGCTGCTGATGCACCCGAGCCGTCGTCTTCGTCGCGGGGCCCAGAGCCGTCGTCTTCGTCGCGGGGCCCAGCACCGCTCAGGCCAGTTGTTTCTACCGAGGCTCCTGCAGTCCGTCAAGACTCTGTGACGACAGGGCGGCACAATGTGAAGCGCGCCACGATTTGGGGACGGAAGCCAGCCTTTCAGATCGCACCGATCTATTCAGAAGGAGTGCACACCGGGTGGCGTGCATTTTGCGGTCGACACACGGACGCCACTGGCAGAGCGCTGCCTTGCCAGAAGACCGTGAACAATGGTTCGGGTCTTTCGGACGGCGAGTGCGTTTTGCGACTGAAGCGATGGCTTGTAGCCGGGTTCCAAGATCAGGACTGGGGGGGCAACAAGAGGTCGTTCCACCTGTCGCAGGGTGGCTGGCAGCTGGGAGCGTACAGCGCAGGGTTGTCGGAGCAGGAGTTGGACGCCCTGGTGCAGCACAGTGCGGCAGGATGAATAAGAATAAGGGCCTTTGGCCATCGTTGCGTCCGAGCTGCCAAGGCTTGGGCCTTGGGCCATGGTCCCGGCCAGCTTCGAATACCGGAGTGGCTACGGCTAGGACTTAAGCGGCCTAAGGCTAAGGGCCCAGGGCAAACACTGCCAGGGCCTTGGGACGGAGCTGGACGGAAGCTTCTCACCTGGCAAAAGCGCGTGATGACTGCTCCTCGTTAGTGCTGGACCGTGTGCCCAAGCTTCTGTCGGCCTGCTGGGTGGTGCATCTTTGTGCAGTCCAGTCGAGTCCCGCCCTATGTCTAGCAGCTGCCAAACTGTCAGCAGCAGCCGGGTAAGGATAACTTTTTCGAATCCTGTGATGCGTTAGTAAAGTTCACATTCAGAATCAGATTCATAGTCAGGCTTTTAAATAAACTAAAGTAACTAAATCAAAAATCCAGAAATAATCACAGGAAACAAATAAATATTTATATAAAATCAAAGAATATTTCAAACAATTAACACAATGTTTGTAAGTTTAAAAGAATGTTTGTAACAATATACAAAAGAATGTTTCTCTACTTTAAAAGTTGTTTCTCTACTTTAAAATGGTGTTTCTCTACTTTAAAACTTGTTTCTCTACTTTAAAATGTTGTTTCTCTACTTTAAATGTTTCGTACAAACATTCTTACAAACATACAAACATTCTTAGAAACATTTCGTAGAAAGTTCGTAGAAACATTCTTACAAACTTTGTTTATTACAAATAATGTACAAATAAAGATTCGCATATTAAGCCATTGAGCACAAACAAACACACGCAAACATTGCCCACAGTCCCATTTGTCCAGGGTGCAGAGCGTCAGTCGCCTTGCGCATCATCCGGCCCGGCGCTTCCCCGCAGCTTTGAGCTTCAATCTCGGTGGCATCTTTAGCCTGACTACTTTGCCGCCTCTCATGACCTGTATGAACAGCAAGGACCTTGACGAGTTCTTGGACGCGCGGGAGGCCACGGACGTGCAGGAGGAGGAGGGGGCGTCCGAAGCTCTACCTGAGCGGGTTGCGGCCACTGATTCTGAGCTGGGTGGAAGGCCTAGTTCCTCGACAGGCTCTGTGACGAAGCTCCGCGTAGAGTACAACCTGGCTAAGTCTTGTACGTGTTGCCTTTGCAACGCAAAGAGTACAGACACAAGTCCTCTGGACGGGTGGGAAGGAGATGAGGACCGCCTCCTTGACGGCCGCCTCCCGTGGTCCAAGTACGGCAAGAGAGCAATGCCGGACGGGGAGGTGGTCCGGGTGCCGGAGGGGCGGCTCGACCTGATCTGCCTGAACGTCTTCCGAGCCCTAGGCGCGGACTTGCAGATGTGCAGTTGCGATTGTTGCAGTTGAGCTGTTTTGTTTACCTTCAAATTCAGCTGCGGGTGCAGGTTAGGGCTACGACTCCTAACCTTTTCCTTTGTGTGGGGGGAGGGCTTGGAAAGGCCAAAAAAAAATTCGCGAGCGCTACCGCTGGGGGGCTACCCCACTAAACGGGAAATAAAATGGACGGCTGGGTTTTCCCTTAACCTTTTCCTTTGTACAGGAGAGGAGGAGGGTTTGGAAAGGTAAAAAAAAATTCGCGAGCGCTACCGCCAAAGAAAATGGACGGAGCTGGCGAAACCGGAGGAGGGTGGCGAGGGGGGGGGGGGGGGGGGGTGGGGGGGGGGGGGGGGGGGGGGGGGGGTTGGGAGGGGGGGTGGGGTGGGGGGGTGGGGGGGTGGGGGGGTGGGTGCGCGTCGTCTGAAGGTGAGGCATTTTGCAGAGCAGGCTCAAAGTTCTTCTCAAGTTCTGTAGCTCCTACTCGACACTATGTCGAGCTCTGCTCATGATGTGCCGATGCAGTGGGACACACAGAGAGTCCTGAAATACTGCAAAGAGAATCCATTCATGTCGGCCCGCAAGCTCGTGAGCAAAGTTATCGACCTGGAAGATTCCGTTGCTTGTCTAGTTACAGTGTTCGTAGTAGGTAAGTGAATCAAGGTATTGTATATTTATAGGTTTATGAAGTTTATGGTAGATTATCAATTATCAAGTTCCTTGTGTTTTTCACACTTCAATTACACAGCACGTTTTGCACAGTGTTGCTGTTTCCTGATACTGAGGCCTGGCCGAGTGCTTTGAGGCTGCGGTCAACAATCGTGGATTTCTTGAAATCCCAAGCAGATCTAGGGATCCAGGACTGCCAACGGGCAGTGAGGTTCCTCGAAGAGCGCGAAATGCGCGAAGCAGAGCGGTTGGCTGCGGAGGCCCTCGCCAGACACTCTTTGCGTCTTGCGGCCGTGGCTGCATCAGATGGTCAGCCTTTTGACCCGAGTGAGCAGGAAACGGACACGGAGGACCAGCTTTGAGGTTCTTGCAACCGGGTTGTGGTGTTTAACACCGGGTGTTCTGCGCCTGGTTGTTTTGCACTGGGCCTGTGGCCCCGGCTTCTGAGGCAACGGGTGTTTGGCACCGTGTCTGCGCCGGGGTTCGGCACAGGCTTTAGCGCCGGGTGACTCGCACCTGTTTTTTGCAAACGGGTGTTCGGCACCGGGTGTTTGACACCCGTCGTCCACCAATAATTAGTGACTAGTGATCAGCTTGAGTAGCGCTGATTAGTTCCATGTCTCAGGTGCATTGTCGGATCATTGTGAAGGTCATTAGTATTAGTCATTAGCATTAGCAATGACCCATGCTGGCTTGCGGAAGCCCGAAAGGCCGAAAAAGTGACACGTCGCATTTGCATGGTTTTTGCAGCTTTGCAGCGCAGCTGATTCAGCTACTTGGAAACTTGAAGCCTTCAAATCAATTCTTTACAACCTACTTTGTTGTATTCGCCCAGCCCCTTCGCAGGGCTTCAAGCCGAGTACGGGAGTTACTCCAACTACTTCAAGGAGGTGGTGAAGAAGGAGAACCAGACCAAGCACCAGAAGTTCTTGAACGGGAGAAAAGTTTGGATTCAACAGCATGGTGACACTCAAGGTCGCACCAAGCTGAAGAACAAGAAGGACCTCCTGGCTGCCACCAAAGAGCTGACGATCGAGCGCAAGATTGCCGGATCTTTTGAGAAGCCAGAGAAGGCTTTTGTGACACCAGAAGGATGGAACCCCAGCATCCATGGCGGCGAGTACGACAAGACCAAGGAAGTCGAGGAGGACGTTTTCGGCAAGATCGTGAAGGGTGTGTGGGTCAACACGGGGCCCGTGGGCGTTTTCAAGTTCAAAGAGTTTGACCAAAAGGCCATTCGTGAAACCGACACGGAGCATAGCGCAGAGGACCAGCTCTTTGCGGAGGAAGCCTTTGAACGCAAGAAGAAAGCAGCTTTTGACGTGGTTGAGACTGCTTCCAAAGCCAGGGACAACGTGGCTGTTAAGGGCAAGGAGATGTCCATGGCCAGCCTTTTGCAGAGCATCCAGGCATCATCCGGTGCGGGCTCATCCAGCGCAGCTGGGCAGTATTGGAGTGAGTGTTCAATAGTCATAGTTATAGCTAGAGTTCGGCACTTGGCAAGAGAGAGCTTGGGGTTGGGTTTAGGGCCGCTCCGTTAAAAAAGGCTTGCGGCTTAAGGCTTAAGGCTGAAGCGGCTTAGAGCTTAGAGAATAAGGCTTGAATAAGGCTTAAGGCTTATAGGCTTATAGGACTTGAGTAAGGCTTAATTAAGTGAAGACTCAATGCTTCAGACACTTCAGGGCTTTGGGAGGCTAAAATTGGGGGTGCTTAGGCGAGTTTGGGACTTACGGTTTAAGTCTTAAATTTAGAGCTTAGGGGTTGGAGCTCAGGGTTTGGGGCTTCGGGAAGTTAAGGCTTAAGGCTTAAGGGGTTTCAAGTTAAGATTTTATGGCTTTGGGAAGTGTAAGACCCAGGGTAAGGGTTTCAAAACGAAGCTCAATTAGGCAATTTTAGGTGAGTCTATGGCAAATTTTTGGCATTCACGGTTTTTTTGGCTTAAGGCTTAATAATCTCAAGGCTGCGGTTCGCTTTACGGTTTAAGCTTAAGTCTAAGTCCCAAGGCTTAAGCGCAGGGGGACTTCAAGGGTTTCCGAGGTTGCAGGTTTTGTGGAAACAGGCTGGAAGTCTAGTTTAGGACGGAGGTTCAGGCTTAAGGCTGAAGTCTTGAAGTTTAAAGTTTAAAGTCAAACAATAAGTTTCAAAGTTTTCTATCATATCGAGCCTTGGAAGTATACGGTGGAAAGAGTGTGATATCACTACTGAATAAACATACAAAAACGTTTCGTCCTCCTTGTAATGTTGGAGTTCCAGGCCCCAACCAAACCGTAGGTGTTAGGCCCTGATGTTATAAATTCAATGCCCCGAGTCCTAAGCCAGTTGAACTGCTTCATGTTGCGAGGACCCGAAGCGTGGTGGAGGCTCCAGCGACGGTGAGGACTCAGCTCCGGGTGCCGGCAACGACGGTGCTGTTGAGAGTTCCTCTGAGGAGGAGGAGGCCGGACCTTCTGCCGCACACAAGATGTTCGGCAAGGTGTCGTCGGCCAAAGCCAAGGCCACTCCAGCTGCAGCTTCAGGCCAGGACAAAAGCTCTGAACCCAGCAAGAGCAACAAGAAGGCTGCCACAGCGGCTGCAGGCAAGGCCAAGCCCAAGGCCCAGGAGGCTAGGAAAGCCGCGACAGTCAACACAACACCCAGGGCAAAGCCCGGGTCGGCAAAGCAAGAGGGCAAGGGGAGTGTGGGACCCATGTTTTCGTTAGGTTCAGAGAAGGCTTCCGATCCTGTGACCTCGCCGGCAAAGGCAGGCGACATGCTCTTGGTTGACGGTCGGGCCAAGCGCGCGTACAACTCCATGACGGAGAAGGCTGACGAGGGTAGCGGGATGTTGGAGAAGATGGACCTTTCCGATGCCGTGCCAGCTGCGCACGAGCGGGCGGAATGGAAGGCCTCCTTGGCCAAACGAGCTGCCCAGTGCAAGCTGATCGTCCGGCAATGCAAGGACCATTTGCGCCGCATGGACAAGAGTGCAAACAAAGAGTCTTTCAGTGAGCCACTGCAGCGACTCGAGCTTGTTTCTAGGTAAATCTTGGGTGGATTTTTTTCATTTATTGCGGCTTTGGTTTCCTAATTGCCGAATCACTAGCTGAAGTAATATATTAAACATTTAGGTGCTTCATAGTAGTAGTAGTAGTAGTAGTAGTAGTAGTAGTAGTAGTAGTAGTAGTAGTAGTAGCAGTAGTAGTAGTAGTAGTAGTAGTAGTAATGCCAGTAATGCTTTCTAATGATAACGACAAGCCAATATATTACACTGAATTATTAAACTATGACACTAAGACTAAAGACTAATGGCCAATGAGCTCCTTCATCATCGTACTTATGAACTTATTGGATAATAAAAAGGAATGATAGATAACTGTTTGAGTTTGAGTTATTGAAATTTTTATTTTGGTCGCTTTTCTTTCCTCCACAGATCCAGGTTTCGACAACCGCGCAGACCTTTGACGCCTTGCTCAGCGTTGCTGGTGGAGATCCGCCAGAGGCTGAGAAGATGGTTGAGGCCTATGAGAATGCCTTTGAGGCTTGTCAGAACTTGTTGTTCAAGCCAGCAAAGGCCTTGGGCCCAGTCTTCAGCTTGAAGTATATTTTGGCAAAGGGCAATTTGGCATGCCTGTACCAAGAGTATGACCAGTTCTGCTCAATGTTGTTGTGGAAGCGCGACAAGTTGGACCAGATGGAGAGCCTGTCGAAGGCCTTGGGCCGGGACAAACTGCAGCAGCACATCACTGCAGAGTGTGAGAACCGTCTGACTATGCTTATGCGGTTGGCCTCGCCACAAGACCTGCGGGCCTTCGGCTCAAGCAAGCTCGAAGGTTCGCTGCTGGATGCGTCTACCCTCTGCGAGTCCATGCTGACAGCTGGGACCAAGGAAGGCGACAACTTTATCCTCGCGGAGCTCTCTGCTGATGTCCAGATGACCCATGCCATTCTCACGTTAGGCAGCAAAGACTTGAGCCTTCTCAGCACGGCTGTTGCAAAACTGCAGGAAGTGCAAGCCGCCCTGGAGACCAAGGAGGATGCGGCAGACGGAGAAGATCTCGAGACTGAGGTGTCAGCCCTCCCCCGCTTCTTTGCGCAACACAACATCGGCAAGGCCCTTCTCGATATGGCTTGTGGCCGGGTCCTCGCCAGTGCAAAGGAGAAAGAGGCCCAGGCAGCTCTCAAGGAGTTTGAGAAGGCTACTTCCGACATGAAGGCCTGCCGCCCACATCAGAAATTTCTGGAAGAGTTCTTGCAGCCGGCCCTGGCCAAGTACCAGGAGGTCCAGAAGCTGTGTCAGGAACTGAAGAAGAAAGGCGATCAGAAGTTCTTGACCCAGAGGAATCTGTTGGAAGTTGGTGAGCAGTTGCAGAAGGAGCTGGACGAAGCCACGGAAGAGTTCATCAGCGTCGTCGAGAAAGCCAGCATCGTCTACCTGAGAGCCGAGTGCCTGCCGTTGGTGTGTCTTGTAGAGCACTGGTCATGTGGGTCTAGGATCTGGGCCCAGGTCTAGGTCCTAGGATTTCGTCGTGGCAGTACGACAAGACAAGACTAAAATGAGTCCTTGTTGAACCCATGCAAGTTGATATCGATATATAAATGGTTGTGTTCAGGTCCAGGCGGCTAAGTCTTGATAGGGCTGATAAGAGGCTCTGTTGCAGCGCCTTGGCTTAGGCTTTACGTTGGGTGTCTCAGTAGGGGTGGTAGGTGTTAAGGAGGTTGAGGCTGAGTTGTTCCCATAGTTTTGGTAGACAGAGACTTTATACTTGACTTTATACTACTTAGTACAGTACAGCACCGCTATGTTTTGATATCCTGAATGGGGGGGGACATTGCAGTGACATGTTTTGGCCTTTGGCCGGGTTTGATGATGCTTTCGGTTGCTTTACCAAGCGAGTGCCCTGGCCCAGCAGGATTGCCTTGATGGTGGACCATGATCTTGGCTCATTAAATACTAAACAGTGTCCCGGGTTGAAGTAGTTGAAGTCTCAGTCCAAGTTTCAACATGCGCTGCAAGAGGTATGACAGTATGACACGTTGATTGCATAGCAACAGGTCAAGAGAAGGTACCAGGTATCACTAACGTATGATTAACCTTGAACTGTGTAGCAGTGTAAGATAAGTACAGAAGTGTACGGGTTGCCGAGGTCATTGCTTTGCGAGGGCTTGGAGAACGACGGCAAGACTGCGGGCTCTGAGGGAAACATGTCGATGATCAACTTGGATGAGCTTTGGCCCTCGTTGCACAACACAAGCTTCATCGATCATGCTTCTTGGAAAACTTGTCCGGGAAAGTCTGCGTTCTTGCAGCGCTACAAGATGTTCACGACAGCATTATGTGAAATGGGCGAGTACCTCTTTCGCCAGCTCCCTTCTTTCCAGCACCTGCCGCAGGAGCAACCGTCGCCTGCAAAAATGCGGCTCTGGTCGAACCAGTTGCCGGAACGGTTGGAGGAATGGGTCGAAAGCACAGATCTGCGCGCAAGGGTGCAGAAGACGTGTTTCCAGCGATGCGCCGACCGGCTGAAAACTCTTTTCGCCGCAGGGTTCGCAGCAGTTGGCCAAGTGGTGGCTGAGGTCAAGAAGGGAGAGACGCCTCTCACGCAAAAGAGCGTGGACGAGCTCATGAGCAAGATCTCAGCTGATCATCCCCTCAATACGCTCTGCTCGGCATTCTTCAAGGCAGGATGCTTCTTAGTTCTTAGAGTCTCTTCTATAGCTCAGTTTAAGATAGCAGATAGAGTTATAGAAGGCTAAGTCCGGGTTTACTTCAGATTACTGGTGTAAACGCCCAAGCATCGTTTTGGCCTAGGCATATGCATCATATATGGGTTGGTTAGACTTATAGGATTTGTGAGCTTATGACGTTACAATAGTCGTTAACATTTATAACTTTGTATGGCTTTAAGGCTTTAAGCCTCTTATAGTAGCCCTGCAATTATTCTTTATGTCTTTATGTGAACTATGAGACTATGCGTCCGTTTATGACTATGAAGATCATTATGTTATGTTCCAGACTCCAGACTGCATATCATCTGTTTTTCATAAGTTCATGAAGTAGGCTTCCCGATTCCCATTTAACCGTTTAACCTTAATCCTGAGACTTGAAATGATTTGAGGTTAAAAGTTTAGTGAAATAAGCTTCTTTGCGATTCGGAGGTCGTTTTGTCCACCGCCAAGAAGGAGGATGCGGATGTCAAGCTGTGCACGAAGGCTTTGCTCGACATGAGTTCGAAGTTACAGGAGGCAATGGCCAAGAGCAAAAGTGACAGCACAATCGCCAACGACTTGGAGATCTCCCAGCTCACCACAGTGGACCAGTGGTTGCTCGGCGTCGTTGAAGATCTTCTGAAGCGGCAGAAGGATGCCTTGGCCCAGGGCTTTGCCCGGGTGTCAACCGTCGAAGCTGAAATTGAGGCTTCGCTTGGCAAAGTGCCTGGCTTCACTGACGAGGTTGCCTTTCGGGACGCTGGTGTGAAGGTGGTGAGCAAGCTCGCAGCCGCTGCGGCAAAGTTGGAGAGCAACCTCGGCAGTCTCAGTGACAGCATGGAGAGCGTGGACATTCTGTCATCGCTGCGCTTTTCAGACAAAGGCCCAGATGAGGATTTATGCAAAAGCTGCGATGTCAAGTCCAAGACGGACGAGTTGGATGCAGCCAACAAGAAAGCTACAAGGGCGGCTTGTGTTGTGGCCTTGGTTGCCAGTGTGTGTTTGCTGCGAGGCCCGGAGCTTGCGGAATCGAGCCCGAATGCTTCAGTCTTCACTCAGCTCCTCGATGTCCACACAACTTTGAAGACAAAGGTCAGCAAGCTCTCGGAAGACAAGAAAGACACAGATGCAAGGGTTGCTGCAAGGGACGCTGATCTTGAAGCCTTTGCTGAGAAGATCCTTCAGGAGTGCAGCACCGTCTTGGCGCAGCAGAAGGACCCAAAGAAAAAAAGGAAGGCCTCGGTGCCGGGTGAGGAGTTGGCTGAGAGTGAGCCAAGCAAGAAGACCGAGAAGAGCGTGGCGAAGGCCAAGGCCAAGACGAAGCAGAAGCCCCAGAAGGAGGCGGAGGAGGAGGAGGAGGAGGAGGCGCCCAAGCCGAAGAAGGACAACAAGAAGGGCAAAGGCAAAGGCACGGAGAAGGAAGAGAAGGCAGCGTCGGGCAAGCAGGAGAAAGGCAAGGCGGCCGCGCAGACCAAAAGGTCCGCGTCCGCAGAGGGCCAGGCGGATGATGCGAAAAGGCGCCAGACGAACTTCCTGGATAAAATGCAAAAGAATCAAAAGAAGTAGGGCAGCTGCAGCCATCAGCTGCCTCCATGTATGATCCACCCGAGCTTCGGTGCTTGCTCTTTAGAGTCTGAGTATTTTGTTTTGCTGCACAGCGGATGCTGGCTCTGGCCTTTGGCCGTGTTGTTGAATCAGCGTTGTGAGTTCGCAGTGTGTGCATAAGGTGAATAGCAAGTATCATTGGGTGTATATAGTCTTATATTCTTATGGTCTTATGGTGTATCTGTCATAAATAGAGCATAAGCCGTAAGCATAGGCATTGACTGACATATGAATGAATTGGTGATCGTGTATGGTAGTACACCACTGCGACGATGCTGTTTCCAATGTCTCGGCCTTGCAGAACCTTGGGTTCAAGTTCACCGGACGTCCGGACTGAGTGAGGCTGAGGCGCAAAAGTCCAAGTTGCCGCTGTTCACAGACTGTTAGGATGTTACGCAAAGCACGCAGCACAAGTCACCGAAATGCCAGGTTGCCCAGTGTTGCTACTATACGTGTCACTGCATGTTGGCCTCGGTGCCTGTGTAGCTTGAGCTGCGCCTGTCAGGACCAAGCCTTACTGCTTGCTGTGATTCTGTAGGATTCAAAATTGCAGCAGTTAGCAGCCTCTGAGCGAGATGGGTCGGTGTATGCCGATATCTAGTCCATAGCAGTCTGAAGTGAAAGGATTCTTTGTCTCGTCTAGTGAGTCGCAAAAATTTTAGTGTGTAGTGCTACGGTTTGGTGAGAATCTAGGCTAGTGTGCTTGCAGTGTTTCCTGTCCGACTCGAGCCTTGCCTCACGCTCGGTTTCTGAGATGTCCAAGGAGCAGCTGGGGAAGGTGAACTCCGGCCCAAGCCAGCCTCGTCTCGCGGACGAGGCCTCGCGCCGGGTACAGTCAGAGCCGAAGCTGAAGAGAAGCCGGTGCCTAGAAAAGTCGAACTCGGGCGAGCCCGGGCTCATGGCTCAGGCCTCGCGCCGGGTAGTGGATGCCGAGGACATCAAATCTGGTGCATTGCTCCACGTGCTGGCGCTTGAGAACCTAGAGAGATTCCAAGAGTTGGAGCCCGACAGCCCTTTGGCCCTCGGACAGCGTGCACTTCAGGAAGAGCTGGTGTTGTCGTGGGGTTCGGCTTGTTCCGGTTCGGAGGGCGTCTACTATGCGATGGAAGCTATCAATGCAGCGTTCACTCATCTAGACGTGAAGGTGCAGCTGCAACACAAATTCAGTTGCGAGAGCATCTTGATTTCATCTTAGAGTGGTCTATTGAACTACTGAGTCTATTGCACACATGCATTCAGATTATTCGGTCCTCTTGCAGCAATAGGCCTTGCTCGAGCCGAACTTTTCGCATAAGACATAGAGATAAGACATAAGACATAAGTCATAAGTTATACCAGGTATGCCATCCGGAATTCTGAGGTCAAGTTTTTCAGTGACAGTTCGTCACTTCAGTTGAGAAGTTGAGTTGAGAATTTGACAAGTACCCGTAGCGTATAGTATAGCAGATGGCATATCAGTATCATGCATAACAGCATATCAGATATCTTATCGGATCAGGTCGGTCATATCGCATATGGTGGCATGTGACAGATGGCATAGGCAAAAGCCTTAGCCTTAGCCTTAGCTGTTTCACCGAAAAGGTTTCGGGTATCCAGGTAAATGGTAAACGTTTTAAAGCTCGGTTCGACACTGGTTGAATGACATCTGTGATATATATATATATATATATCTATATATAGAGAGAGAGAGAGAGAGAGAGAGAGAGAGAGAGAGAGAGAGAGAGAGAGAGAGAGAGAGAGAGAGAGAGAGAGAGAGAGAGTGTGTGTGTGTGGACATGTTTAATATTTGTGCTCAGGTAATGCTGACAAGCAGCAGTGGATCCAGGCGGTGCTCGCCGTTGGCACCCTACGCGAGAGTACCTGCGTCTTGTGGCCTCCTCGGGTTGATGCCCTTGCGGCGGGTGGTGATCTCGACACCTTTTCAAGTGGGAAATGCATTTTCGAGGATATCATGCAATTGCACCACAAGGAGGCCAAGTGCTGCCGACACGGCGGCGGATGCGACGTTCCGTCAGTCGACCTTCTTGTCGCCGGGACCTCCTGCAAAGACCTCAGCAAGCTGAACCACACGGCTCCCACTCACGACAGCAATAAGCCAGTCCTCGAGCAGAACTCCAGCCGCGGTGCTTCAGCACAAACTTTCCAAGGCCTTTTGGGCTACGTTCGGAGTCACCGACCTCTCTTCGTGGTTTACGAAAACGTGGACGCGATCAGCGATCAGCTCAGCTCAACCGACGACTCCAACTTGAAGGTTTGCTTGAACGAGTTCGCTAGCATGGGGTACCACAGCCAGCCGATGATGACAGACGCATTGGAGTTCGGCCTTCCATGCCATCGTCGTAGAGTCTACATCCTCTTCATTGACTCCCGTAGCCCCAGACTTGATCTCCGCAATCGGCCCTTTCAGGTTGTCATGAGCAAGTTTCGCCACTTGGTTAGCAGTTGTATACGCACAGCACCATGTGCATCGGAAGTGCTTCTTGAGAAAGGCGACTTGGCGGCAAAAGAGTGTATGGATGAGCGGCAAGCAAAACTCAAGAAGTCCAAAAAGTCCTCGACTCAGAACAATTGGGTGAATCAGCATATGAAGTTTGCAGACGGCCTTGGCATTCGTTGGGGCACCCCTGCACGCAAAGAGCTGAGCCAGAATGCATGGTACGCCACCCTCACCGACCGTGAGGCCGACTGCCTGAAGCTCTCAGAGATTGAATCTCCCCGATGCGGTTTCCGCAACCTGTCGCAAAGCATCGGCCGTGCCAATAGCAGTACCTTGCAGGCAGATGGTCGGCATGTGGCTCCAACCATGTTGCCTGGGCAGTTGTTGTGGACTCATCTAGCTCAGGGAGGTCCACGCTTGATGAGTGGATACGAGGCCCTTCTCATGCAAGGGTATCCCATCGGACCTTGCCTGAACTTGCTTTCCCAGGAAGGCTACGTTGTGAGCGCAGACCAGGTGACGTCGAAGAAGAAAAAGTTCCCAACAGACTCCTTTCTCCAAGACTTAGCTGGTAACGGCATGGCGCTTCCCGTCGTCATGGCCGTGGTTCAGGCATGCCTTGCTGCGACGCACTGGCGTCCCGTCGGGTTGAAGAGCACCGCCTCGTCTGTTGCGACTGCGATGGCCGCCATGTCCATGCTGACACAAGGCCTGGGGCCGGGAAAGGACAACGCGGACGAGGACGAGGACTTGTGAACAAGGCCTGAGGCCGGGTGCTGGATTGGTTTTTGCAGCCGCTTGGTCTGTAAAGGATTCGGGCATTTTGCCATTTTTGATTGTGCCTCAGCTCAGTACTCAAAGAGGTTGCTGCAGTTCACTCGATGAGGCAGCGTGAAAAAGTCAACAGCATCGCTTCGTGGTCACGGTCATAGTCAAGGAGCCAAGGTGGAAGTTTAGCCTAGCGCTCAACTCCGCTCAAGGTCATGTTGCTGAAAATGCCGGTGTTCGTGTAAACATCGTTGCGGTCATGGTGTCCTAGGGCCCGTGATCGTCTTCATTATGGTGAGTCATTATTAACTGGACTCATGACGACTTATGGTCACTCGCAGTGCTCCTCATCAGTGTCTCCAGTTTTATTGTCATAGATTCGAAGTGTCATGATGCAGTAGAGTCATTAGTCATTAGTTAGAAAGCAACCCGAAAGCCAGAATAAATCCTGCTCCAGTGCACTCTATCCACACTTATTCAGTCTGATTCAGACATCAATTGTGCAAGAGCATGATGACGATGATGATGATGCCGATTGCATGTCACCCTGTTCCTTCGTTGGCAATACGGTAACCGGACACATGTTACGACCATTCTGAGCTGTTCAATCAGCTGTTGAAAATGTTGAAGAATGTTTCAAACAATCCAAAGAATGTTTCAATCAATTTAAAGAATATTTCAAACAATTTAAAGAATATTTCAAACAATTGTCGAAACATTTAAAGAATGTTTGCAACCCCCCAAACAATGTACGAGGTGAAACTTGGGGGTGGCTTAGTACCGGGCTTTTAAAAACACTCAACTTTAAGGGGTCTACATCGGTTTTAGGTTTATGGGGTACTGCAGGGCTTAAGGGATCTAGGGATGTTAAGGGTCGTAACCTTTTGACCTGACGTTTTGGTTTTGGGGTTGTGGTTTTGGGTCTAATAGGTTTCGGGTTGGGGTTTAGGATTTGGGTAAGGGTTTTACATGGTCTATTTTGGCCTCTCCGGAACGTGGCTGAAGAGCCGACCTAGAACTTCTATAATCTCGATCTATGTGTACATATATATATATACATGTGTTTATCGACTATTGAATCTATATATAAATATATAGACTATATATAGATACAGGGCTATAGGGTTTGTATAGGGTGCTTCAATTGTGTTAGTATTATCTGAGCAGGGTTAAAAGGGGTTGTGTGGGATCCTGGTGCGGACTTCATCAAGAGCAAGCTCCAGCTGATGATCTGATGATGTGGATGCAGCTTAGTCGCAGCTCATGCCCTGTATCTTCTAGCCGATTTTCTGAAGCTTTCGCTAGCCCATCAAGCAGGGAGTCACCGGAGCGTCGGGGATCAGCAGTTGCAGCCCGCACGAAGCCAGAGATAGTAGTCCCAGTGGCCTCAGCAGCGGATGTGAGATTGGCATTTGTTAAGCAAACCTATAGTCGATGGCAGTGCTTTGCTCATGCATGCTTGCGACTGACATCAACGATTCTGCAATCGATCTTTTTCACACTCGGAGATCTCGACTAGAGCACATGTTTGATTGCAATGTACACGAAGTAGGCTGAAGGAAAGTGGTCTGGCCCCTCGCCACCAGGGTTATCATTATGGCAACCTTGTCGCCGTCTGTACAACCGAATTAAATGAGCCTCCAAACACTTGCACATCGTGCTGTCTGCTGACATGTACAACAGATGCATCCGATGATATCCTTCGTCGCAGTAGCCTTCCACCCGCCGAACAGGATCATGGGTAAAGCCCACTTTG